TACGAACGAAGGTCGGTTATTCACAGTTTTCATTTGAACGCAAGCGTACACTAAACACGCCACACAACCTTTGAAATCATGTATGTGTATACATGCCCACTGTATTGCCACTGAGTTGTAGAATTTGATGATTAAACACTTGTGACAAATCAAACAGCAAGACGATTAAGCCTTTGTAATTCGTAAGAGAAACATGCAAACCCAATCACTATATACATGTGAAAGGAAAGGCGGTAAGTCATTATCACAACTGCGTCATACATATCGTCGGGTTCACCACGACGTGACGTATATTGATAGTTTTGTGCACAACAAATGTTGGCCAATCGCTTCCGTCATTAAAAACCCCTCAGTCTCCGTTCCAGACAGCTATATTTGCTGGTAGTTCACTGCAGTGATTTCCTGGTTCCTATTTCCTTGTATCCATTTTTTACATTGTGCAGTTAGAGATGGTAAAATTCACACCTCAATGAAAGAGGTAAAAAGCAGAAGTTGATGAGGTTTCAGTGCCAACCTACCTACATCCACTGGGCGACGCGACAAGTAATGCAAAGTGAGGCTACTTCTGCGACGCCGAGCTAACCCGTGGATTTCAACAGCTGTTAGTGCTGAGGTAGTGTCCTAACTGAAGCAGCAGGGCAGTGGGTGCCGATCAGTGGCGTAAATCTGTGCCGGAAATTTGGGTGATGGGGGATGGAGAAAGGTGTGTGTGGGGGGGGGGTTGACTTGCCCGGCCATCAAACTTTGAAAAGCGGGGGGGGGGACACCATATGGCTCTATTGTGGATTGCACAATATAGATGTTATCATGAACATCATGTCCATAATATTATGACGCAAATGGTTATGTTGTTGCACACTGTCTGGCAGCTCAACCGCGGGACTTGCCCATGGTCAACTAATGGGGGCGCTATTATGCGAATAAAAGAGAGCGCGTGCGCGGCCAGCTAGTCAGCAGTTTGGTTCTCGTCCATGACGGACGTGCTGAAGCCAAGGCTGTGCTAGGTAATAGGAGGTTACGCTGCGTGGATTCGAGCGTGGGCCTTTGTACATACCTGAGTGGGACCACGGTGGGATACCGTGGAGGGAACTAGGGATTAGTTCCAGTTCTTTGGGGTGTGGAGTACCCTGGGGAAGAATACTTGTAGCCTGGAGGATGCCTTACGGGAGGGTTCAAACCAGGAGGCGCGATGGTAGTGGGAGGCTATCTACGGTAGCGCTTAGCAGAGGCTTTGTGGGCACTACATTATAGTGGCTACCTGGAGGATTAAATTGTCTGGTGTGGTAAATAAAAGAGGCTCCAATACAGTTATTTGTCCCGTCTGTTCTTGTCCTGTCCGTAGTTGCCCTGTCTGTCCCGGGGAGGTTGTTGAGGCACTGTCCGGTCAGCCCTGTGCATTAGGCGGTACATCTCCGCCCAACGGGCCTGTCCATCCAGTTGCAGACTTTCCTGAAGGAGTACCACACTCGCTGAATGACCACCGGGGGAACACTACAAGGCCGGGGGTATCTTGATAATTCCGCCACAATATTGATGTACATCTAGGACCTATATTGTGCAACGAGAATGGCATAATTATGGCTTTTAAATTTCCCCACTTTTTATAGTGATAGTGAATAAAGTTTAGTAGTCGAAAGTCTGAATAATTCGTCAAAATCCGCTTTAATTTCTTGCTCACTGTAAAAAGTGGGCGGATGAAGAATACAAAAGTAAAAAAAAGGTGCAGAATGTGAGAGACGTTTGCGTTGAAATTTATGTCCTGTGCATGCGCATATAAATTAGAATTTATTATTGGAATAGACTCTTCCACTCTTGTCCATGAAAGTGGAACAACGATAAAAACAATGATTGTCACAACGGTTTATTTGAAATAAAAGTATGTATATGTAAAGAATAGGGCGTGTTTCTTACTTGCATGACGTTTCAGAAAAAAAGAGACAAGTGCAAATAATAAAAATGTGAGTTTACTGACTAACTTACCACGACCAAAAAATTAAAAACGCGAAATTGATCACAAAAATGTCCTCAGTGAGTTCCCTACACATTGAGTTTTCATATCGTAACGAACAGAGCGAAATCGTAATAGAGTTTCTGAAAAACGTTTCCTGATATTCCACTGCGACGACTTCACATTTTTTCCCTCAAAATTTGAGTTTAAATACAGTGTCAACAACGCTCTTTTTTAGAAAAAGGGCTGGCTGTGGTTTTTCAGTAAAGTATCTATTCGTGCTCTTGGTATCGAAAATGTACATAAGGCAAAGTTGTACTCAACTATGATCTCACTGTTGCCTTTGGTGTCGATACTAGTGAGTGATAGTGATGCCAGTTGCACTATAATTCGAATACATGCAACTTACGGTGAACACGATTATGGATGGTCCGTGCTTTATGACGGCAACCCACACGTGTGTAATTTGAAGCTTGGACGTGAAATATCTCAGTAAACTTTGTCGGGCTTGCACGAACAGCAATTCAAAATCCAGTGCAAAAATCAACGAAGTCAAAGATTTATTGCCCTTGTGAGGAAAAGGGTATAGAGTTTGAAAGACATTCTGGCCTGACAATTTCAGTGGTTATGGTGAGTCTTGAGTCCACTAGTATCACGGGATGGAGAGTGGAAACGGAATTTCCTTGTTCTATATCTGTGCCCCAAATTTAAAATATAAGTTCACATTACACAGATACCCACCAATAGATTATGTCACCTCCATGGAGTTAGATATAATAATGATATCTAACTCTATGGTCACCTCATATCATATATCACATTCCTATGTACCCCCGACATGTTACAATACCATTACTAAGTAATATGCCTCACCTCAACAGATCTGTAAGAATAAACTTAAAGTGCTGCAGGGTCTGTGTGTTTTTATTTGTGAATACACAAGAGTAATAGACCATCAAAACAACCTAGAATGCTCAACTGAATGAGGAATTAACCTTATGAACATCACCTTACAATTCACCTTCAGCTATTAGTCATGTCCTTCATAAACTTAACATTGAAAAGGTTTTATACAATCTTCTCAAAATGTACAAAAAATTGTATTCTATGTGATAAATGCAGTCATACAAGTTTCTCAAGTGCTGCAGAAATAGCCTGATGGTATTCCTAGTGAACCCCTTTATAAAGCTCTAGTGCTGATATCCCTGACCAAGATCCTATTTATTGCTCCCAAATCTAGTATCAGAAGCTAGAAAGGGAACAGTCAGTAACAGCACAGCTATACATTTGAACTTGTGGGAACAGTGATTGCAAAAACTCAAGCAAATCAAATCATATTTTCTTAGGTATCCGACAGCGAAAACTTTATCGCATAGATTTCTCCCAGTTGCAGGTAGTTCAGATTCTGGCAATCAAAGTTATCCTTTTACACTATGTATGTAAACTGCAGCTGACCAATGACAACTCTACAGGTCTATACAGTCGTACATTTCATAGACCAATCACTTTATAATTATTTAGTCTTGGAAAAGTTCGTTCACTTTCGTCGCTAAATCTCCTGGAGGGATGTCATTTGAAAAATGGCCGCTGACAGACTTGGGAACGTTCACTTTTTGTGGGGTGAGTTTGTTTTTGGTGGATAATTAGAAATTTCATTCATTAACCTATTAAAAATTGAAAATGACTTGAAAGTTGAATGACCCCAGAACACTTTGTTTTTTTGTTTGAGAGGCCTGAGGGACTTCGGTTGCCCGCACCAGGGCTGCAAACGTGTTCGATTTTACATGGTCTTCAGTGGGGCTTCAATTAGTTCAGTGCACCCATATACGTCCGCCGTGTGGCCGGTCTGCGGCAAACTCTTGGTGTTGCGCTGTATTGTGAATCGCATGTATTAGGATGCAGACCAGTGAACGGGCCGAAAACTGCTTGCGCGGGCCAAATCACAATTTATGTGCTCACAAATACTCTACAAAACAGAGCATTTTGTGGCCCATGATCTTGAAGATTTGTAGAAATGACAGCTTTAGGCGGGCAAAGAGAATACCAACTTGTGTTTGAGCGAGATTTGGAAGAAATCGGTGCCTGAAAACGGTCTATTTTTCGAGAAGTGTAGGCATCAATATTTCAAAATGGCGAAGGGCTTCAAGACTGCATTTTGGGGATCACCTTCCGTGGAAATAAATATCTTCAGAATTCATCGTTAAATCATTAACTGGGCTTTACTTTGAAGTGCGTCTCAAACGCCTGAGAAACTCGTGTATATATTTTTCTTGATTTTTTAAGTTCGAGTAGTTATCACTGTTGGCCACGGAAGTTTATTTACTTGTCTGCAACCATTAATGCGGTGATGAGAAACTCTCCCCGGAAATAGAGAAAAACTTCAAAAGGTTTTGTAAGTTTCAGAGACGATAAAAAATAATAATCAATTTTGTTTTTGACTCGTGCAGGCCGAAGCAATTAAGAATTATTACGAAAACAGAGCTCCTTTGATGTGGGAGAGTCTTGAAAAGTACCTGGTGAAAAACGGAGGAGGTGACGGCTTCTTCATCGGAGACAAGGTAAATGCTCAAGCGCATAAAGTCATCCTGCAATTTTTATTGGGAACTTGAGTCGTTCACCATCATCTCCAGGCCTCCTGCCTTCTCATATTATACGAATAAAATGAGGTTAAAATATCGTTCGAAATGTGCCGCCTCAAAGGGGGCACCATGAATGAAGATCTCCACAACATCCAAGATCGGGAGAGACCTGTCTTATCGATGCAGGGAAACACACAGGTAGATGCCGTTTTTTCGGCCGCAACTAAACATTTCAATCAATCCTTTTCCCTTTATTATTTCAATGCAGATTTCCCTGGCCGATATCAGTGTTTGGGTCAGTCTGGACGTATGCTTCGGCCAGCAGAAGGATATTCTGGCCAAGTACCCCAAGCTGGTCAAACTGAGCGAAAGAGTAA